ATAATCATAAGGGATTTGATTTAGGTCATACCTGAATGGTCTAGTGGTTTTCCCTACTTTCTTCAATTTAAGTCTGAATTTGGCATTAAGGAGTTCATGATCTAAGCCCCAGTCAGATCCTGGCCTTGTTTTTGCTGACTGTATAGAGCTTCTCCATCTTTGGCTGCAAAGAATATAATCAATCTGATTTCAGTATTGACCATCTGGTGATGTCCATGTGTAGAGTCTTCTCTTGTGTTGTTGGAAGAGGGTGTTTGCTATGACCAGTGTGTTTTCTTGGCAAAACTCTATTAGCCTTTGCCCTGTTTCATTCTGTATTCTCAATCAGAGTCAAACCCAAAGTCCTTCCTCAATGGCTTACAAGGTCTCTGGGTTACTATCTCTGACACTTCATCTTCCCTGTTTCTCCACCATTCACTCAGCTCCAGCCATACCAGCCTCCTTACCATTCGTTGAACTTGTCAAGCACAAACCAGTCCCAGAGCACCCGCTGTTCTCTCTGCTTGGAACCCTTCTCTCCCTGATATCTACATGATTCACTCTCTTTCCCTCTTCACATCTCTGCAAAAGTACCCACCTTAGTCATGGACCTCCCCTCCCCAACTATGTGACATGGCCACACCCCAACCCCCACATTCCCAAGTGGACAAACTGCTTTATCCTGTTCCATGGTGCTTATCTTTCTCCAATGTATTACATATTTGCTTCCTCTGGTCTGTGTTCCCCACCCCTCATACATAAGCTTCAAGAGGCCAAGAAACTTTTATTTTGTCTCCTCTGTATGCTCAGAACTATAACAGAACATGGCACTAGTTTCTCCTCAATTTGTTAAAAGAATATAAAAGTGCTTTGAAAATCATAAAGCTGTAAATACATGTGATGGGGCATTATTCTTATTTACATGGGTAAACCATAAGAGAGCCTTTTTTAAAAATCCCATGTTCATTTTTCTCCTCAACTTTGCTACATATAAGAAGATTCTTCCTCTGCCACCTGCAGACTAGCTACTGCCACACTTCAGGTGACACCCAGGGGTGTGACTCAAAACAACAAAACTGGAAATAGAACTGCCATATGACCCAGCAATACCACTTCTGGGCATACACACCGAGGAAACCAGATCTGAAAGAGACACGTGCACCCCAATGTTCATCGCAGCACTGTTTATAATAGCCAGGACATGGAAGCAACCTAGATGCCCATCAGCAGACGAATGGGTAAGGAAGCTGTGGTACATATACACCATGGAATATTACTCAGCCATTAAAAAGAATTCATTTGAATCAGTTCTAATGAGATGGATGAAACTGGAGCCCATTACACAGAGTGAAGTAAGCCAGAAAGACAAAGACCAATACAGTATACTAATGCATATATATAGAAAAAAGATGGTAACGACAACCCTATATGCAAAACAGAAAAAGAGACACAGATGTACAGAACAGACTTTTAGACTCTGTGGGAGAAGGCGAGGGTGGGATGTTCTGAGAGAATAGCATTGAAACAAGTATACTATCAAGGGTGAAACAGATCACCAGCCCAGGTTGGATGCATGAGACAAGTGCTCAGAGCTGGTGCACAGGGAAGAACCAGAAGAATGGGATGGGGAGGGAAGCGGGAAGGGGATCGGGATGGGGAACACATGTAAATCCAAGGCTGATTCATGTCAATGTATGGCAAAAACCACTACAATATTGTAAACTAATTGGCCTCCAACTAATAAAAATAAATGGAAAAAACAATTTTTTAACTGAAAAAACAACAACAACAACGACCCAGCAGAATAGATACAATGACCCACTGTCACCACTAAAACCCATTAACAATTCCTGGGAAATAAAAATGGAATATGCCCCTATCGGCTGGAACCGCCATCTTCCAGTAATTTGTCAAAATGACCAACACAAAGGGAGACAGGAAGGACCCCCACTACGCGTTCTCCAGGACTTTCAGAAAACATGGAGTTGTTCCTTTGCCCACAAACAAGCAAATCTACAAGGTGATATCGTAGATATCAAGGGACTGGGTACGTACAAAAAAGGAACGTCCCACAAACGTTACCATGGCAAAACTAGGAGAGTTTTGCCAGCATGCTCTGGCATCACTGTACACAAACAAGGGCAAGATTCTTGCCAAGAGAATGTGTGCGCCTACGGAGCATACTGAGCGCCCTTAAGAGCTGAGCTAGCTTCCTAAAACTTGTAAAGGAAGACGATCAGAAAAAGAAGGACGCCAAAGAGAAAGGGGCTTGGGTTCAGCTGACGCGCCAGCCTGCTCCACCCTGAGAAGCAGGCTTCGTCAGAGTCGATGAAAAGGAGCCTCAACTGTCGGAACCCCTTCCCTATGAACTCCTGACCTGCCCGGTGTAAAGAAAATAAAGACCTGGACTGTACAAATGTTTCGGGGGGAAAATGGAATCCGGTAATAAAATAGTCTAACCTTTTGTTCTCCGTCGTGGTTCGTCTCTTTTTCACTCGCTCACAGGGTAACGCCTGTACAGGCCTTGCCCTCCGGCCTTCAGACCAGTATTCCCAGAACAAACAGCTGAGCCAGCACCACAGCTCCAGGGCAGTGCGCAGAAGCAGCGCGCGCAGCGTTCAACCCAAGATGGCGGCGGCAGGCCGCGCGCAGAGGGGCTGCGCCTGCGTCGCGAACGCCACGCGCCTGCGCCTGTCCCGCGAGAGCTCAGCCCACTCCCCACTGGCAAGGATGCCCCAAAGGCACTTCCCTGTGGACCAGTGATTAAAATTCTGTGCTTTCACTGCAGAGGGAACAGGTTCCGGGAACTAAGATCCTGAATTCCCTGCAGTTCAGAAAAAAGAAAAACCAATAAAGCAGCCTGTAAGGGAGAGCATGTACTCCACGGCTTGAGCTCACACCTCTCTGTTCCTTCATCACATTAAAGCTTTCCTTTGCTTCTGAACCAAATTCAGTCTCCTTCTATTGGCACAAGCGACTCTGGGCAGAAGGGTCCTTGCCAGGGATCAACTCGGGATTGGTCGGCAACAATCAAAATAATATCAGCTGCAGCTACCGCCGTACCAGAGGCACATCGGCCTGGAGAAACTTAGGATCAATGACCGTTCTACTACACTATTATCTTTAGAAACTTGTAGAGGAATAAGCATTAAATTGGGAATCAAAAAAACAACAACCTGGGTTCCCAGCCACGCCCTCCAGTTGAGGGTTTCCCAGCCTCAGCACTGCTGACACCCCGTAGGCACGGGCACATCCTTCGATGTGAGGGCTTGTCATGAGCATGGTATGCTGGGCAGCATCCCTCGTCTCTACCGTCAGAAGCATTTCCTCTCGGTTGTGACAACCAGAAATGTCTGCAGACTTTGCTAAATGTCTCCTGGGCATTGAGGACTACTACTCTGCCTCCTAGCTATGGAAACCAATAAATTAGTCAGACTCTTTGGGGGTTAATTTCCTTGTTTGTAAAAGAGGCCCAGTAATACCTATCACACAGGATGGCTTTAACAACTAAAAGAAATCATGCATACAAGTACTCAGCAAATCTTACCAAATTACTACTTTTGTACCTATTTATTCTTACTCCCAATGAATAATAAGTTATTTATCTCGCTCTAATAAATGTCTTTCCTTATGTAGGCTAAAATGATGAGCATCCTGCCTTTCTACAGTCATAAAGTTGAGCTTTCCAGTGCCTTATCAGGTCACACCTGCAACACACAAATTATCTCCAAATCCATTCCCTAGTTGCTTTCTCCTCTTAAAGAGCATGCCCTTTAAAGAGTGCATTAAGAGACTGTCTGCTCACCCATGGTTAATTTTACGGGTTGTTTATCTACAGTAGGATTTACTCGAGTCTATCTTGGCAAATGTAATGAAGCCTGGGTGTGCTTTCATGGGGGACTGTGAGGTGAGGTTAGTGAGAGCAGAGCAAAGTCTTAGGCTAGTTTTGGAAATGTCATTTCAGAATCACTTAAATTGGAAAAGTTCTAGACAGTTCTAAAAGAAGAGCTCCAGTAAACAAACCCATCACAACAAATAAGACAGAAAACCCACATCCGCTCTTTGGAGGCAGAGAACAGTGCGGCATTCAGTGTGGATTCTATCTTGAATACTATTAATAACCCGGTCTGCCAATTTTTCAATCCCCTCAAGGACTAGACAAGTACATTGTGCAGTAGACTATATCCATTGTGATATTAATTCATGTCTCTCTTCGGTGAAAAGATTTAAATGGATGGTAGGACTCTAGGAGGGATGGATAGAATTACCATCATTTTACAAATGAAAAAAGAGGTTTGGTAGCCTGTGCAAGGTCACACAGACAATAATTGATGGAGTCAAGATTTGAACCCAAGTCAGCCACCTTTGGATCCATCCCAGCTCCTTTCATTAGACTGCACTGAAATAATTCAGCATTCTTGGAGTGCATTACCACCTGCCCCACGGTGAGCGATGGTGGGAAATGTAAGTGGGTTTTAACAGCGTCAACACTTTTATAAAAGGAAAAGCAAAAAAAAAAAAAACTGAGAAAAGTAAGTTGAGTTAACGACAGGAAATACTATCAGTCCCTCCCTAGAGCAAGTGTTGATGAAGGAACACCAGCAAGAGCTTATGCATCTGAATGTTCAGGGAGACTCATACACTGTCTTAGAGGATAGTTAAGCTACAAACCCTAACCTGCCAGGTGGGATGTGTGCTATGAAAAATACCTCCACCAACAGAGGTACATCCAGTGCAGCAGAGGGCCCACCCCATGAGAGCAGATTCTGGCCCCAGAGACCTCCTACGGTACAAACCCCTCCTTAGCAGGCTGATCATGGAGCAGGCTAGGGACATGTGACCTCTCAGAAGAGCTTGTGATGACTACTTACTACTAGAAGAGAAATTTTTCAGCATTTTAATGACTTGTCCAGTCATTCAGCCCCACTTCACACTTCTTAGACATGTGGCCTTACATGAATTATTTAATCCTTCCAAGCCTTCACATTTATTTGTAAAACAATGATGTTAACAATGCTTACCACCCAAAATTGCTATGAGGATTAAATGAGATGCAAACAAAGTGCTATGCACTGTTCTTGACATATATTAAATGCACAAGAGCTATTAGTGCTCACTATTATTAAGGGAGAAATCTTGGAATATCCAATGTATCAATTAATTTTGGTAAAAAATGAACTTGAGTCTCATATATTAGATGTGACAATTCCTAAGGTCAGACATACATGGCATAGTCTACACCCTTGCTGAATCACACAGTCCAATCACGGTAACTGAGTCAACTTGATCTCCTTTTGGTTCTGTTCCAGGCACTAATACTAATTTTGTCTCTGAATATGGGCTCTCTGTCAATAGGGTGCCTTATGGAGTCAATCATGATTCATCCTATTTCTACCAGCGGCTGAGTCCTCCATCTGGCTTCTCAAGTTTTCAGTCGCAGAGATCAACCTTCTCAGTAGCTAAACACAGAATCATATGTGTCAGCCCTCAACAGCTAGGTTTCCTGTCCCTCGGTGCTGGTCACCGGCTCCCTAGCTGCTGATGCCTGGCTTTACCAGTGCTCACTGCCAATCTGATCAGAATCCAGCTTTTTCAAAGCTGAGTCTCAGACAAATCTATTTCCCAGATCTTGCATCCTCAGTAGACCCTGGATTAAAAGGCTCGGGAATCCCACATATTCTTCCCTTGGACTTAGCGCCCCACGGTGGATTTTCTAAGCCTCTCTATGTGACAACCCTGGATATGCTCCTATCTGTGGTCCCTGTAATTGTTTGACCTAGACTCCAGGTAGTAAAGCAGGATGGCTTATGAGCACAGTGTTGAAGTTACACGAAGGAGAGCTTGAACCCCAGGTCTGCCACTTACTAAGGTTTTGAGTAATTTCTTATTCTTTTTGAACCAAATTCTAAAATGGAGATAAAAATACATACTTCTCAGAATTGCTCTAAGAGGAGTAATTTAAACCCGGTTTCATAGCTGGCACAGAGACGCATCCCACAGTCTTGCTTTGCATGGAAAGCCGCATGCCCCCTCCACTGCAACTTGATGTCTGGTCATTTTCTATCTATTTAAACTAGATCCTTAATAAAACTACCTGGAAATTACTCGAAAGTCTAGACAGCTGCTCACACCAATACTTTCTGGCCTCTCAGTCAAAATTGTCCAAAAATCTAATTTGGACATACACTGTTTTTACTGTTTGTTTATGATTCATTCCTTCGACAAATACATAGTGAGCATCTAGTGTGCCCATGACTGGGCCGTGTGAACAAGACTTTGCCCTCATGGAGGTTACAGCCTGGTGTTCCCCAACCAGGTTTTTTTAAATATTTGTTTATTTATTTGGCTGTACCAGGTCTTAGTTGCAGCATGTGGGATCTAGTTCCCTGCCCAGAGATTGAACCCAGGCCCCCTGCACTGGGAGCATTGAATCTTAGCTACTGGACCACCAGGCAAGTCCTCCTCACCCAGCCTTCCATGGAAACCTTATTAATCCGGGATGGCGTCTAGCACAGTGCTTGTGAGATAATTCTATTAGTACTTGTCTACCTACACTTTCCAGTATTTTCAAGAGTATATTACACTTATCATTTAAAAATTCATTAAATTTGAAAAATACTGGCTGACTCTCTGGGAAGTGCATGAAAGTCCTTTGTCAGCACACCTTATGCAGCAGGAAGTTCTGACCTTCCCATTGCAGTAGCTGTGTCTCTTTTAGGTAAGCTCCCGAGTGAACAATCACCACTGGCTCTTCACCTGCTGCCCAATATCTATTCTCTTCCCTGCAAAGACTTTGCCATTTTTCTAGGTCTGAACCACCCAGGATTCCAAAATAAATACTGTGTTTAAAATCCAACCCATTTCCTCTGGAAGTTTAGGACAGACAGCAATTACTTAATCTGGATTCTTTAAACAAGAAAAAAAAAAAAAACTCCAGGTGCTACAGTCAATCTTTTAGAAAGGCAAAGCAACTTCTCTCTTTGGGAGTTGCTACGTATGATGCCACTCTGTTTTAAAGGGTCTGAGATAAGTCTTCAATTTTGTGAAGTTTAAAGATTAATAATACCTTTGGGAGAAAAAAATGCTGAAAGGTAGGCAGGACTTGTCACAGGAAAAGAAAAGAATCTCTCCTGCTTTGCTGTGATTAGCTGCATAAATTGTAGTGCGAATTCCAGAGCTAAATGAATTAGTATGCATCCCACCCAGAGTTCTTTATTTGTTGAAGTAAAATGCTTACAATCTTTGCTTGGGGGAGAAAAAGAGGGTATGTCATTGAATGAATATGAATTAATCAGTACTTTATGGACAGAACCCATAATTTTAAAGCAGTGAAAAAAGGCAAGGCATTTATCAGGGTTCCACTCAGCAATCTCCCTCTGTCATTGCTAATAAATCTTTTATGAAATGGAGTTTTGCAATCTTTGCAGGAACATTCCCCCTCCCTCCAACCTTTCCTTGGAAGAAAAAAATAAGTTAGCACTCATCTCTAATATTTTCTCTTCCTTTCCCTATTTGAATTTCCTGTATGCAGAAAATCTCTGAACCTTTTTGTTTTCAAAGCTTTTCCCCCAAATTTATAAGCTCAAGACCTCTTTCATCAGAAGAAATAATTCATATGAAACTTCTCCCAAGAGATTGA